AAAATTTACTGGAACATTCACTCTCTGAGATCATAGAGTTGTACCCTAGATGCATTTTTTTAAAAATGTTTAAAAGAATCCTTCTTTTGGATACTCATGTATTGTTTTCATAGGATTTTTTAAAATTTATCAAACTTTTGGAATTTAAACAACAAACTTAAAATTAATATAATGAAGTTAGCGAAATATTTCTTGAAACTGCTTATTAGAAAGAATTTTAGTACAATTATTGTTCCTCACAGAAGAAATTGTGCTAAATGACGAGCAGTTCCTCTTCTTAAAACTATTTTAGACATTACAGAGGAGGAGGAGGAGGAAGAGTTGTTGTTGTTGAGTGCCTCTGGGTCAGAATCAACTCATTACTGATCCTCCAGCAGGCTTAAATAGCCAGTAAATCGCATGGGAGAAGACTGCTCATCTTTGTCCCACAGAGTAGCTGGTGGGTTCAAGTTGCATATCTTTGAGTTGGCAGCACAGGGTTCTCTATACAAAATAGAGAGAAAAGTAGCTATATCCAATAGAAAGGGGGGCTCTTATGGCCTATGGTAAGGAGTTGTGCTGCCAACCCAAAGCATGTGGTTTTAATCCACCAGCTATTCAGAAGGAGAAAGATGGGCTGTCTCCTCCTGTGTGATTTACTGACTCTGAAAATCCATGACAGAGCCAGATATGAGTTCAGTTGCTACTCAATGGTACATAACTACAACAACAATAGAAAAAAGTAAAAGTAAATGACTTAAGAATAAATATAAACCAGAAAATTATATTTTAAGCAATGACAAAAATATACAGAAGAAAATGTGAGTAGAAAATGATGATCATTATTGCTTTTAAAAAGGCAGAATGAAGGCTTTGGGAACAAAGTATCATAGCATCTAAAGATATTTATCCTAAAGAGAAAAGTCACATATTAGTTATAGATATACGGTACTATTTACATGAATAAATGACAAGATCTAATATCCAAAATCCTCTATAAAAATGAAAGTATTCTAAAATAAAATTGGCTATATGCAATTTTTAAAGTTTTGGAGATGTAAAACAGTGCAATCATGAGGGAAAGCACTGTGGAGCTTCTTAGTTAATAAAAAAAAATCATTTGATCTAGCAATCCTACTACGAGGCATACATCCTAAAGAAATAATAACTGCAACATAAACTGACATACCCACATCCATATTTACTACAGCATTATTTACTTATTTTAATAATTTTTATTTTATATTGGTTTGTTTACAAAATTTGCATATCTGTGTTTTGTTTATACACATTGTACTTCACTCGTTCCTCTACTAACATTGTGTTTCAAAGTATCATTCCTAGATACTGTATTTTATAAAATTGATTACACTGATCCATGTCCATTATTACTACACTATCTTTTCAGGTCCCCACTGGATTGTTCCAAATTTCTTCCACCACTCTCTCTGCCTAAATAACTCTGTGACCTCAAGATCTCCCCTTCACCGCCCTTTTCTCTCCTTTCCCCTTTGGATTTTTATAAACCTCTTACTAGTAATCTATTTTTACAATAATGGTCTTATACAGTATTTATCCTTATGAGGCTGAGTTAGTTCACTCATATAGTATTATTCAAAATCCTTGTTCCTGAGTGCTGCATCATGTGAATGTACCATAATTTCTCAATCCATTTTGTTTGTTGATGGGCATTTTGGCCATTTCCATTTACTTGTTATTGTGAATAATGTGAAGCACTATTAGTAAAGAGTTAAGAACAACTCACATGTCCATCAATGGACAAATCACTACAAGAAACTATGGTATATTCAAAATAGAATATTAAGCATTGCTAAAAAACTATAAAGAATTTGTATAGTATTGCACAACACAGATGAAACTAGAACAAATTCTGGTTAGTCACATAATTTAAATCAGTCACAAAAGAATAATTTGGTATAAGACCACAAATATAAGAAGCTAAGAAATCATTTACACACAAACAGAATCACCACTGAATATATACATAAAAAGAAGTGAAATGATATATGTTTGGTTTAGAGACAGACAGATAGATACAGAGATAGACAGATAAATAAACAGTCAGATAATCGTTGTTGTGGTCTAGTGCTGTCATGTCAAGTATGACTCACAGAGACACTATGAACAACAGGTTTGAACCTTATTCTATCCTAGGCCATTCTCATCATCTCTGACACACTTGATCTCATTTCTGCAGTCAGTATGTAAATGCATTTCATTGAAGGTCTTCGTCTCCTTCACTGACCCTCCGCCTCTCCTAGCAAAAAGTCCTATGCCAAGGAATAGCCTTTCCAAGCAACATGTCCCAAGTATGTAAGATGAAGTTTCACCATCCTTGCCTCCAAGGAACACGCTGGCTGCATTTTTTCCCCAAGATGTTTGTTCTTTTGGCAGTCTATAGGATATCCAGTGTTCTTCTTCAACACAACAACTAAAAGGCATCAAGCCTTCATCCTTAATTATCATCCAGCTCACAGAGGTATACCAAGTAACTGAAAAGATCATGGCCTGAATCAGGCACACTTTAGTTTTCAAACTGACATATACAGAGATAGATATCGTATCACAAATAAACAGACCAGGGGATCTTTTTAAATAGAAATCCTCAAATCTGATCACTTAACGGAATATCTAAAATTCATCTAATTGGTGGAACAGACCACCAATTATTCATAGGCAAGTTCAAGCTGAAGCTGAGGAAAATTAAACCAAATCCACAGGAGCCAAAATATGACTTTGATTTCATACCACCTGAATTTCAGAATCATCTCAG